GATGAGCAAATCAGCGGTCTATATTAAGGTTGTGCTTTGTCCACTTCAGAATTAGCTCTTTCTCGAACCGTGAAAATTTCTGGGTTTGATATAAGGCCACTTCAAAAGACTTAAGCCAGGGCATACCTCGACAGTTCTAAGGTCATTGAGAAGTGACTCTGAAGGTCGTGTAATGGTCTTGAAAATTTGAGAACGCTGAAGGAAAAAGAAAGTGAAACAAAAACTTCGTCAATATAGTTTCGAACTATACATATTGCTTCACGGGAATGTACAAGGTTCCAACATACAACTTACATAGGTGTCGAGGAGTTTCTGAAGCTCAAACTGAACTTTACCCAACTTAAGCAAAGTTCTACCTGCAGAAGAAACAATGTTAAAGCATGTAAACAGAAAAAAAAAAACTTCCATGATAGATGAATCTTCAAAAACACTTACTACTTTCTTCATCATTATGCGGCGCGATTTGCTCCAAGCATGAACCCATCTCCCCCAATGATTCAGAGAACTCTGATATTACCAAACAAGAAAAAGAAAAAAAATGAAGTCTACCAATACACTAATGTTCATATATGAATCAGAATGAATACAATATTCTAAAGTAACCTAAAACATCAACAAAGCTTCCTCACAAGGTTAAGAAAAACATAATGGGAAATGCTAAAGACAGTAGGAAATGAAGATTTTATCGAAAACATCAATGAGAGGTTAAGGCAAGCAACTCTTATCAATGAAAGTCAATCCAATCTGATAGAGCTCAAGGGTATTTCAATGAACCCCATCTCATATGAAGAAACCAAACACATTACAGCTGCAATTTATTGTTCGATAACATCAAACATCTAAATTTATGCAAGAAGAAGCTATAAAAAGTGCAGATATTTATAAAGTTGAATTGCGTATTTACCGAATGCGCTATTAGCCGTGGCAGCAGCTACAGAGAGTAATCTATCATAACACTCTCTCATGTCTTGCATATCCTGAAAATAAATAGAGTTATAACTTAGCCTATTATCACCATTAATAAAAAAACGAAACTTCACAGTCTCACTAAAATCACAAACTCAATGACTAAATATGATTCTTCCAATCTAATTAAAACCAATCAACTAAACAT